CTGGCTCCACTGCTCTATAATCTCTACACGGCTGACATCCCCATTAATCCCCATACTAAAATGTCCATCTACGCAGATGACACTTGTATTTTCACTTCACAAAAGTACTTACATCACATACACAGAAGACTACAAAATCTTGTCTCCATAATTGACTGGGCAAAATTATGGAAAATTAAAATTAACATCGATAAGACCCAAGCCGTCCTGATCTCCAACAAACATGACAAGCATATTGACATTCTCATACTAGACGATTCCGAAATTACATGGACAAATCAAATTAAATATCTAGGACTATTATTGGACAGTAAACTTTCTTGGACCCCCCACATTTATCATAAACTGAATAAATGCAACAGATTAGTGGGATTGCTTTATCCATTACTTAACAAGGACAGTAAACTAACTCTAAAAAACAAACTATTACTATACAAACAAGTTATCCGACCTACATTACTTTACGGTGCAACAGTTTTCTCACAGACAACACGTCAAAATAAAAAGAAACTGCAGGTGTTTCAAAACAAGGTAATCCGCAGGATGGTCGGCGCTCCGTGGTATGTCCGCAATGCGGACCTACATACAGACCTGAGCGTTGATACAATCCAGGAGTACCTTGTTGAGAAACATACGCGGTTTCTTGACAAAGTAACTAACCATACAAATGACATAATTAAATCTTTATTTGACGATAACTATACTATTAACCCTGACAGAACTATGTTCAGAAATTTAAGAGCTCCACTTCTTTTCTAGTGAATGAAATCCCCTTCCCTCCTTTACCTTCCTTCCTATCCTTTCCCCACTCCCCTCCCTTTCCCTGAACAAAAATTAACTGAAAACACAACACATGGCAGTAAGTAGACTCACCCAAAATTGCGTAAGAGTGCTGTCGCACTAACGCAGTGTTAAACTCAAAAGAAGAAGAAGAAGCATCTTATAGAGGAGAAAAGGTGGCAATGATAAAGTGACATTTATATTGAAATATCTTTTCAAATAAGCTCAGAAAAAAATAAAATCGATTTTGCAAAATTTCGGCTTTTTCCGCATATCTCCGTTAGCACTCGGAATTTTCAAAACATCAAACCCCATTTTAATGAACACAAAATTGCGCTGCTTTTCTTAAATTTAAGCAACGCCGTATCTGTTACCGTTTCCCAGATCCCCATATTGGTCCTCCTTATCTTGGACACATTGTATATGAGGTTCTAAACATTATAAAAAAAAACATGCACTAAACAATCTGCAGCAAAGATCTTTCTCTGCAGGCGTCGATGAAGTGCCTTGTAGCATATTGAAAAAAGTCTCTCACGAGATTTGTCTCCCACTGTGTATCTTTATAAATCAATCTTTTCAAGAAGGGCTCTTTCTCACAATACTTTAAAAAACTAGGGTAATACCTATACACAAAAAGGCAATACTACCGACATAAATAACTATAGACCTGTGGCAGTTCCATCTGCTTTCCCAAAAATTTTTGAGCGAGCTTTTTATGACAGATTACTGAAACACTTAATTGACAGCTCTTTTTTTAGTGACACCCAACAAGGTTTCCTTAACAATAGATCCACAGAAACAGCTTCATTTAGTCACATTAATGCTATAGCGAAGGCAGTTTACTTTGACCTTAGCAAGGCTTTCAACATGATGGACCATGAAGGTCTTAAGAAGGTCCTTAAATAAGTAGGAATCCAGGAAAAGAAAATAGGGTGGGTTGATTCGTTTTTGAATGATAGGTCACAGTGTGTGGAAATCAGGGGCAGCAGGGACAATATTGTGAATTACACTTATCGCTTAAGTTTCACAACCATGGACACAGGAGCCCCCCAAGGATCACTTTTCTCTCCACTCCTCTTTGTCATCTTTTGCAATGACTTAAAAAGTGTCCTTGATGACCCTGATTTTTCACTTGCACAGTTTGCTGATGATAAGACATGCGTAACATCAAACAAAGATGAAAAAATGGCTGTAAATCTTGCGAACTCCACTGCACTGAAAATGCAGAATTGGTGTGATGAAAAACACCTAATTTTGAACCATACTTAAAGGGGGTGTGCGCCAAAAATTAAAGTTCTAGTGTAAAAAAATCTAGGAATAACTGTTCAAACCTCGTTATTCTACGATAAACCATCGCTGAGATATACCGCTTTAAAGTGTGGATGACGCTCTCGTGACGTCACGAGAACTTCGTCCAGCCGCGCTCCGCATTGTTAATTTGATTGTTCCCGTCACGCGTGAGTGGTTTTTGTTTAGATTATTGCAGGTAACACAGGAAAAACATATGTAAATTTAATTAACCCCACTTTCTCGTGCGTCGCTTGAGCTTTCGTGACGTTATAGAATGAGATGCGGTACCTTCATAGAGCCATATCTGCCGTATTATTTGTCATAGAGGGGTGCGGATTTCACTGTTATTCTTAGATTTTTTTTCTCTTTTTTTCGAGATGAAGTTGTTTTTTTGGCGCACACCCCCTTTAAAACAAACTTTATTCATTTTCAAAACAAAAAGAAAGATAAAACTACCACAGCTTTTAATATTAATGGAACAGACATACAACAATCAGAGGAAAGAAATTCATAGGACTCATAACTAGGCTCCTGAACTGGCAGAGTCACGGAAGTAAGATCTGCAAGAAAATTACATTAGCCAACTTTGCAATTTATATTATAAGAGACATCGTTAGCAGTTTTATTATGTACCATCGTCACCAAAAGTAACTGGGAAAGCATCACATTAGCTCTTGTCCAATTATATGAATTTTATTGTCGAATATTTATCAAACTATGAATTAAATGCATTGAAATGAATGACAGTAGAATTAGTCCAGGAGATTATTAGGCATTATTTGTGTCCCAGATACTTTTGGTGAAGATGGTACATTCACGCATGGCTTATGGCCTCAAAGAGATTAAATTTAACTGAAATTTTTAATCATGGATTTAATTCTAAGTTGGTGTCAAATGATAGTTTATAAAAATCTAAGATAGGAATGTGAAATCGGTTTTCCTCTAAAGTTAACCGTTCAGGTTCTACAGCCTGTCAAAGTTGCAAAAAGTCAATTTTCAACTGTCAATATTTCCAAAACAGTTGAACTTAGGTATATTACATGAAATCTGCTTAGAATTTTACGTAGAATCCAAATATGCAATTTAATACGGGGTGTTCCATTTAAAATAGTGATGTTGCCACTAGTTTAGAGTAGAAGCGGCAACACCGCATGGTCAAAAATATTTTTACAGTGTAGATCATGGTTGTTTATCCCGGTTGCCAAATTTTCAAAATGATCCGTTTTTTAGTTCTCCATAAACGTCTAATACGCCATCCACCGTGGGACACCCTGTATTTAGTCAGCGGGGATGGATTGAAAATTTATATCTACAAACCTTCTATTCATAGTAATACCAGTACATATTATCTTATGCATAATAAGTATAGAGTAGGAACCTACATAAAAAAATGATAATCGTTTTGCACTAAGTATTTGGCAATTTTTGCCACTCGAATAATGATCGTTCTCAAAAGGTTTTTCATCACATTTTCGAAATAATCTGAAATTGGTGTTTTGTGCATTTCAGCAATAAATATGGAATGATTTGTTTATCTCAATATTAATAGGCCTGTTCGAACAGCAATCACAAACCAGTCAGAGCGAACTTCATTGGTTGAAAACAATCAGAAACAGTCAGAAAACTAGTTTCAACCAATCAAATTCACTCTGATTGGTTTGCGATTTCTCCGCGAACAGATCTATTATACTACCTAATTGATGAATCATCACTGACTGGGACTCAAGTAAGAAAAAAAAGGACCAGGTTAATATAAACAAGCTATTGTACCTTTATTTCCTTATCTATTTTTATAATCGTCATTCGGCAGTAGACTATTGTTGAGGAATAAGCTATAAAAAAAATAATAATTACCTAAAGGGCCCCATACACTACGATGAAACACGACGGTTTTCTACAGGGCCCCACAGACTACGATAAAACACGACGGTTTTCATCGCCACGATGAAACACGTCGTTCAAAAACCGAAGTGTGTGGTAGAAAACCGTCGTGTTTCATCGTCGGTTTAAAATTCAGTCCGAGCTTGATTTTTGGCACGACGGTTCAACATTTCATACACACGGTCCCTTAAGCTATGGTCCTAGCTGCCCTTCAAATCAGAATTTTGGTAAGCTACTTCTAGTTGAGCATGTTTGGTATTAGACTTTAAGCATTTGGCCGTAGATGTTTTCAATAACTTCCTCTTAACAATTGAAGTTGCGTTTCACTGATATCCAGGGCAACAAATCATGGTTTGATTATTTCTTTTTGGTAATTGGTGTGCCCTGGGGAAGCTGACCACCATAATAGGTTAGGATTTCATTGGTTACACGATTATACTATTTAGGGTAAGTGTAGCAAAGGGACACTACCGAATACCGGCTAGAAATGGTTCAATTATGATTTGCTGTTGGGTGTCAGCTGTACAACGTGGTTTCAAGTGAATTCAGCCTAATGGGGCTTTAATAGAATAGCTGAATGCTCTTCAACTTTGCCAGGCAAAATTGTTTCTGTTTTCCAGATGAAGAGTCAAATAATCATGTTCTATAAGATTTGTTCCAACACATAAAAAACCGTCCCATGAACGGTTTCGAAACCACTCTGTATATGAATTTCGAGTTCTACCATATGAGTTCTACGCACAAATGTTTGGCTTTGCGCAGAATCGTGACGGTACATTGTACGGATTCTTGACGTGTTGGAACAAAGCTGTATGTAGCTGAAATGGTCACGCTTCTAAAGAGGAATAAAAAACTTTTTAAAAGAGGGCCTTATTTTGGTTCCCCCTCCAATCCCTCGATACGTATTTGAGATCTTCCTGTAAGTATTTTTTGTCTAAGAGATATTCCCGATTGCTACTTTTAAAATTGTTGTGGGATATTTTCCCATTATACATGTGGCATGCAATGTGTTAAAAAAAAAAACATAAAATTAATAACAGAATTCTTACTTGTTCGTCGTCTTGTTCCCCAAACGGACCACAATCGTTTCCGACAATGGAAGCTGAAGCTAGGCCGCTGGACGAGCCACCTAAAGGCCCCATGGTAGGTTCAGCAGCTTCTAAAGCCACAATTTTGAAAGACGCTTCCGGTGTCGAGCCTGGTTGGGTGCTGAGCATGCCTCTGAAGCGAGTCACGCGCCAGGAACGTACGTGGTTGTATTCGGAACAGACTGAGACTAAGAATTTCTCAGACAGAGTAACCTAAAAAAAAACGGTTTAAATCTTGTTTTCAAAAATTTAGCTCAAAAACTAATTTTCTTACTTTTGTTACTCGGCTTTGATGCACTGTAAAAGTCTGAAACAATTGTGGACCGTGTCCTACAGTCTCCGGATGTTGCACTATCACTCGAACAGCTCCTGAAGTGGTGCCATAAGCGATTTCGATCCAATTACCACACAGATCTAAAGTAGAGATTGGAAAAAAAAATAAAGATTTTTGCAAAAATAAAAACGTTTAAAATCAAGTGAGTGATGTTTGGCTATACTGGTAGCTTGATGTCTTGTGTTATATACCAGCAAAAATGTGCATATTAATATAGACTACTATTTTTTTTAGAAAGCTTAACATTTTGCCTTAAATAATAGCAAATCTGATACAAATTGTGAAGCTCTCTATGCATATGAAATTCGGTTGTTATTACATGTGGAACATTTTTCAGCATAAATCAAACAATAACAATAAAAAGTGTAAGATTTGTGGAAAGCTTGAATTTTATTTAGTTTTTAGCATACCTTCGCGACCTCTCTCTGAAGCTGGCATGAAACACAAGGCCTAAGTTACTGAGTTTTACAGCTATATTCAATATCCTCTTCTAACATTTTCAAAAGAGCAATTTCAAATGATTTGTATATTTGACACACATGATTTTAAAAGAGGATGTTGAATATGGCTGTTAGGATTTAAACTACAATCATTTAACATGCAGGATAAATTTGAATGTTATAAAAAAAGAGTATTTTCTGTTATATTAAACATAATAAAATTTCAAGTTTTTTTTTTTACTGATTAGGTACTTACTGGTTTTTGGTGTAAGGTAAACTGAAATTGCTGTAACAGTATCATTGTTTGGATCGCGATACAATTCTGTCACAAGTAAATCGTTATCTTTCATTCTTAGAGGAAACTTTTGCATATCTGAAAATGTTTTGATTAAGTACAATATTATTCAAATTTTAAATATTATGCTTTATTGTCTGAAGAATTATGAGACAGTATAACTCAAATATCCCCAGACTTTTCCGATGTATGTTTTTTTCAATTTCAAATCTTTAGTCTATAAATATGTTCAATTTTCAAATAATTTCATGCTCCATAAAATTTTAGGCTCCAAACGAGGAAGTTTATAAATACATTTTATTACTTTGTTTCCAGTATTTGTGAACGTTTCGAATAATTCATTTCTGCTAATCCGCAAATAGAAATCAAGTATTGTAGTTTTGAGTGACTGCAAGACGCTGGTAACCAACAATATAATACCTGTTTCATAATATTGGCAAAACTGATACTGGTTTGTAAATATTATTTGGTAATTTCATCCCCCATTTCAAATACTGGAGTAAGTTTTTAATGTTATTAATTTATTTATTTGGAAAAATGTATTACTAATATTGTGTCATAACCACTAGCTTTATTCGATTCCAAATTGGTGATAATTATTTCATCAATATTACTGTTCTCAATGTCTTCCCTGTTTTATTATTAATACTTGCATTCACATTATTTTAATGTAGTTTTTATTCTGTATTACAATAAATTATAATTATTATTACTCACCAATATAATAAATACATCCATTATTACACCCCAACAACAAAATAGAACCGGCGGTATCAAACGAAGCTATCGGCATGACGTCTTGCGTTTGCCAATGTTGAGTCATGGCATGCCACACGCCTAATTTGCCAGAAGGCGACAAAGCCACCAACTGACTGCCAATGAAAAACAAGTATTCCACTCTGACCATTAGATTGAAAGTTCCAACATTTGTACGGGCCCCTGTATCAGAAATGCCCCAAAGCCTGACTTGGCTTCCGTAGGATATTGCAACCATTTTTGAAGTTTCTGTTGAGCCCATTTTTGCGTTTATCGCGATTCGTTCTATGGAGCTTTCTATGTGAGGGCTGGTGAAAACTTGCTGCCAACCACTAGAGTCTTTTAATCTATAGATAAAATTATTACAGTTATTATTGCGTTATTTAATTGAAATTCTAAATCACCTGTAACACACTACAAAATGAGCATACGCCACAACAATCCAATTTTGATGGGCTTTTATTATTTGCACTCTCAAAGGATCTGCCCACATAGAATCTGAAAATAACTTTATATAGAAATGAATAGTTACTTGATTAAACCTAGAGGCAAATCACCTACATTTAAAAATTCGTATTTTTGTTTTAATTCTCTCAATCTGTATAATTAGGACTAGAAGTAACAAATTCCTTTTTAAAAAATACTGAATTTTTTTTGATTTGTCCCTTAGTTCAAATTATCACAATTCTTACTTGATGTTCCAAAAATTAATCCCAAATCGTTCCTAACCAACTTATTCAAATCGGCAGACGAATTTCTAGCGTGCCTCAAATCCAACGAAGCTGTCCTAGAATGTTGCCTATTGGACACGCCTCTCAAATCCTGAGAGCTTCTGCTGTAATTAGCTTGAAGTCCGGCTTGAAGGCGTAGCTCTAACGAAGAATTTCTGGAGTGTCCTTGTGGCTTAATAGTACCATGGTTGCTAGTGCTAGGATTGCTTTCCGGTTCAGATTGACTCTGATCGATTTCTCCCTCGGGTAATCTAGGTCTGTGCACGCCAGTGGTTTCAACCATAACGCATTGCGAATCCTGCAAAGGGACCGCTGGAGGTGGCAGGTAGCCGTAAAACAAAACATCGCCGCAAGTGGATTGGGTTAATTCCTCGCAGAGCATTAGTCTTCTTACAAGTGGGGCGATATTGTAATATTCTGCTTCGTGCCTTAGGGATTTCAAGTCGGTGTTTTTGAGGTCGATTTCCTTTGTTCTTAGATAGTTCAAAATGACTGCAAACACTGACGGGTCTCTGTCGATGAAAATGCATCCTTTTTCATCTCGCAGGCTGGATATACGACCGTTTAGCAGAGCAGTGAAAAAAGTGTCTGGGATTAGTGTCAGGGTTTGTCTGGATGTTGAAAATCTGAAAATTAATGCTTAAAAAAGCTAAGTCTGAACACAAAAGTGATGGTTTACAAAAGGTCTCAAGATAATAATGCTTTCTTTAATAATTTTTACAATAGGTAGATACAGATCCAATAGTCCAGGAAGCAGTGAAATTTTTTAGCACTTATTTTCCTAGTTGATGTCTTTTAAATAGTTTGTTCTCTTGGTGATAAAAAACAAGAATTTTTCAATCTGCCTAAAATTTTCGGATGGGTTCACAAGATCAATGAAAAATTCAAGTAGACTTATTTTCCCAGACATAATAATTTCACATTTACTACAATAGAACATAGAGTATATGAAAATAGCAATTTGGCTTATCTTAGATAGTGGAAAGTGAGTCTGGCTGAAAATTTTCGGATCTTCAATCTTTCACTTGCCAGACATATTATCTATACTCACAGATTAGCCGGACCAGTTTTTTACGTAACTTCAGTATACATTTCATTAGTAGACCTATTTTCACCACTGAAAAAAAATGGCCGTGTATTCGTAAGCTTTGGCGCATTTTGCGCCTCAACCCATCGGAAAACCCCTCCTAAAAATTTATGATGTTGTCTGACTGGGAAAATAAGTACCGAAAATCGTCACTGCATCCTAGACTACAAGCAATATTATTTAAAAAAGATTAAGCAGATCCAAAAACAATTAAATGGAGAGCTGGAGCATTGTGAATAATCTTAGGAGTGAAAATAGAATCAATCTCCAACAGAAACAACGTTTTACAGTTCTATCACGGAAGATCTGAGTGGTAAGATTATCACTAAAAAGGATTTTTGGGAATATTTGATGGAGTTCAATAAGTCAGATTCATTTGTATTGTTTCCTACACATCCTGAATAAGAATTCGCCTGGATGGGATGAGACTTTCATTAGAATTTTTTCACATTTGCCGGATCAAGCATTAAGCGTTCTTGCTGATTGGATAAATTCTTCTTTTGGTCATATTGTGTATTTAGGTACACATAAAAACTCAAATAACTAATTTAATTATACTCAAAGTTAACATGAATAACATATTATACAGAATCAAGATTAGATCCCTTAGGCTGGAGACACAATGACAAATACAAGGTAGGTACAAGAGACAGACACAAAATATCAAAAAATCGAAATTTTGTATCGTGGCATGGCAAGTAAATTGTATCCTGTATCCATTCATTCTGGGTTATAGCGTTGATACACGTGTTATTATTTTGTCTCTTGTCACTCGTACCTTGTATTTGTCATTGTGTCTTCAGTCTGACTGAAGTTCATTAGACTGAGACCCCACTTCTGTGAAAATTAAAACTATACTCTCACAGTCTCACCCTTCAGCTAGTGGCTGAAGAGGCACCTTATGCTACGTTCACAATGTTGCACTAGGCGCGTACATCACATTCATTTTCCCTGAGCTTTTATCAAGATCTTAGCCAATGGTCAAAAATTCAATTCGTCAGAAGACTTCAAAGATCTTTGAGATCTAGGCAGTAAGAGTAGAGATGTACAGGGTGTCCGAATTTGGATGGTTTTAATAGGAAACGTCAATTTCTGAGCGAGATACAAAAAAATGAACCCCCCACTCTGAGGCTCAAATTTCTTGAAATTTTGATTGGTGCAAACCGCATTTTGATATCTTCAACCGTTTAGCCGCTAGAGGGCGATTCTCGATTTTGAGCAATACTGTGAAATCTTCATAACTTTTTTGTTTATGAAATAACTGATTTCCGTGAAAACTTCCTAAAAGCATTTTTTAAAGCAGAATTCAGTGACATTTTCAGTTTTTTTCTATTGGGCCTCGGTTTCAAAATATTGACCAAAATCCGATTTTTTCAAGGGAACCCTATACAGCAGTGGTTCCCAAACTTTTTTCTTTTGCGTCCCCTTTCTGAAATCAAGAAGTGGTCGCGCCCCCCTTCCTACCCCAATTATACAAAACCATTTTTTTTTACTTACTGTAACTCGTCTGAACTGGACTTTGGAAGAGGAAGAATGGACATGACAGTGGGCAGTCAAGAATCCGTTCACGCTTTTGACACTAAGCAGCTCTGAGTAACTCAGCGGGTGAAAGGAATACAGTAATAGATCGCATAACAAAGCTGCTTTGGCTTATGTATGCGCTGTTGCAGGATTGTAGACATCTTTTTTAAAATTTTAACGGATTTTTTATTTTAAAGCTTGAAATTTGTATTAATTGTTTAGAAGACTTACGCCCCCCTCAATGTTGCTTCACGCCCCCCAGTTTGGGAACCACTGCTATACAGGGTGTATATTTTAAGTGATACCTACCGCTATTGCTATATCCGAAACAGTAAGAGCTACAAGGTCGGTTAAATTAGAAAAAAGTTGCGTTTTTTGATGCCCATTTAAGATTCGTTCACAGTGTTGCCAAATTCCTTTTAGTTTATGAAATATAGGGTGATTTATGAAAAACGTTTAAAATTATTTCATCAATTATTTCGAAAACTATTGATATTCGAGACACAATGGGCTCTTTCACTAATTTTTGAAATTGGCATATTTGGATAAAGCAACTAAAAACAGAATTTTCTGTATTTTTACTTTTGAAAAATTCATAGTCCTTCTTGAGAAAACAGAAAAAAAAGAAATACCTCCAAATAAAAACCCAGAATTTATTTCTATGACGTCGCAGCTCGCTATTTGACCGTGTTGCCACTAATTGTCAACATTGAAAATTTGTAATAGATTTAATTCTGAAATGTTCGCAAAATTTCATGAAAAGTAGTTAAATTAATTAGTTATGGATTCAAGATTTTATAACATTTTTATTGAAATTATGCTTTAACACAATTTAATATAATTTTCTATGTTTAGTTTTATTTATTTATTTTACGTTGCACTACATTTAGTCACCACCGACAACAGCGCATTCGAACCTTTACCTGCATTTACTACAGGATAAATACAGCAGAGGCGGACAGCTGTTTGCAACAACAAGCGAAATGAAAAATATTTTTCCTACGAGCGTGCGCAAAGTAGTACTTTTCCGCACGCATTTCCGGGCTCAAAGTTACACTTTTCCGCACTCAGTGCGGATACAGGCCTTATCCGCACTGAGTGCCGAAAAGTAATTATAATTGTCAAGCAACAATAAGTGTACCTGTCGACTTTGACACATGATGACAAATTTTTTCTCTGTTTCTATATCAGCCAACATCTATACAAACACCAAATATAAATTAATTTGACACATTGTCAGATTTGTTCTCTATTTATATGCAAAAATCTACAAACTTTCTCATCAAATTTAAACGCTTTATGATGATGATGATGATGAACAGCTTTGACGAGGATTTTCTGTTATTTTTTTGTTATGTAATTTTTTGATAAATGCATAGGTTCCATTCAAGTTAATTAAAAATAATTAAACAAATTATCGTTTTTTTTTAAAATTTTTGTTATTACCTACCTGATATGAAGCTCGTAGGAAAAATTTTGTTCCTAACACGTGCGCAAAGTGTCTTTTCCGCACGCAAACACGTATCCGAACTCCGCTTCGCGTCGTTCGTATAACTGTGTTTGCGTGCGGAAAAGTAACACTTTGCGCACTTGTTAGGAAAATAACTATATGCGACGTCAGCAAATCGGCGCGTTTTTAAATAATTCAAATTTTGGTAGTTTAAAATGCCTGTAAAAAACTTATTTAACCTTGTAGAACATTTTTTTTTGGTATATGTGCCTAAAATAGTCCCTCCTTTGGGATTTTATACCTAAATTACGTATTTAAATTTTAGTGAAAGAGCCCATTTAAATTTGAAAGTTTTATAATTTTTTTTTCTGTTGCTCGCTGACATATGACGTTTTCGAAAGTTTTGTCATATTTCCCTTCACAGGTTTCATCAATTGGAATACATGTTGGAAGCAATTTTCATTCATTTAACATAATGAGTGCGAGAAAAACAGATATCCCCTCCGCAGCAGCCTCACTAGGCTTCAAGTTCGTCCTTATGTGTTAGCATTCCAGTTTTTGGTTATAGTTCATTGATTACACCTGAATTTAAGTGCATTGACTGCATCAAGGATGATAGTTGACTGCTGTGACTTTTGAGATGCTTTCACAGAACACATATGCTCACGGATAGAAAAAAAAGCTTAATGGAGGGCGGGGCCTAAAAAAAAGCTTCGGATCGCATCCGCTTGGGGACGCTGGAGGGAAACAGAACTACAGGTGCAGAATGAACGCCACCAGAAAATATGTCACAGTTGACTTTGGCACTTTACCTCTGGTTTACCTGTTACCTATAATAAAAAAAATATGTCAAAATAGTTCTGAATGAGAATTCGTCTTGGTGTTGGTGTGCAAAATCCAGATAAATGTTTCCTAAATTAAAAAAAAAATCAGATTCTACACAAAACACAAGAAGTTTGGCCGTTTTTGCTTTACTTAGAAGAAAAACCCGTGAATATTCAATAATGAGGAGAAAGGTTTGTTTGGATTTCAGTTCAAAATCAGTTCTTAATTGAACTGCGCTTGCGCATTTGGTCATATCAAACCTATATAAAGAAATGCGAAAGCGTAGTTCAATTCTGAACTGAAGTCCGAACAAATCTAATATTGAAAATTGGCATTGGAAGAACTATTTTGAAAGCTGATTTGATTACAGAAACCTTTATTATAAATAGTTCGGATCGCATTCACCGCGCCGTGACGACGCATTGTTCCCCAAAATTTTATTAGGCAGTTTGCCTTCTATCCGCGAGGATATGTATTCTGTGGATGCTTTTGAGCAAAATTAACAAGGATTGCAGGCTCCACTCAGTGTGACTGCTTATGATTTTTAATGAGTGTATATGGACTGTACGCTACAGCATCTGACTGCATGGAATTTATAATGATTGCAAACGACTGTATGAGAATGTATGGACTGCCACTGCATATACATGAATGCATGATATTTGTTTGTACACCTACTACACGAGTGAAACACCTCTCGGATTACATGAAAAAATGAGAATAAATGAGATAACATTAGGCTTGTACACTGGAATACATTGGCGATTCACCCCTCGAGCTCAAGCTCGAGCAAATTAGGTATTCTGTGTTTGAATTTCTAAACAACTCACTGAACAAGGGTTGTCATTTTATCGTGATTGGGTTTTTGCATTTTACCATTAACTTGGCTGTTACTTTATCATCCTATGCAATATGTGTAGTTGAGTTTGGAGGTTTTTTGAGGGTGGATCATTTACCTTTTTCCTCCTACGTTTAAATGCAGGATGTCGCCTACATAGGGCTGGTGAAACATTTTGTCAGATTTTTCCATTCAGAGCAACATCAGAAATATTTGTTTTTAGAATTTGTGTATCAAATAATCAAATCTTGCCAACCAAACACCAAACCAATCTACTTGAAATGTTTTTTGTTTATGTCCGTCCAGATGTCGTATGACAGATGTCAAGGAGTGCGTTCAAGGACAGCAATAGTTGTATTCCTTTCACACCTAGGAGGAGCTCCGGAACAGCTCCGGGGCTTCACGCGCTTATTCCTTTCGAAAAATGTTTGTTACACCACGCATATGTTCCCTGCAAATTGGGGGGCGACTAAACACCGGAGCGAGTAGCTCAAGTGTTTCAAACTCCTGAAAGGAATACAACTAATGCTAATGCCAAAACCTACTTTTCCCCCTCCACCGGTAATGCCGAACCACGTAGGTTGAAGCCGAATTCGAACGCAAAATGCCGATTTTGGCTTGGCTGTAGCCATTCCTGAACGCAGCCAAGTACAATCAAGTACAAGTAGGAGTTGTATTCCTTTCAAGAGTTTGAAACACTCGAGCTACTCGCTCCGGTGTTCAGTCGCCCCCGATTTGCAGGGAACAGATGCGTGGTGCAACAAACACTTTTCGAAAGGAATAGGGGCGTGAAGCCCCGGAGCTGTTCCGGAGCTCCTCCTAGGTGTGAAAGGAATACAACTATTGATGAACGATGTTTTTCGATACAAAACTATCGATCTTCTAAAGTTTTTACTTCAGAACTGTTCCAGAGTAGTTCTCGGATTATCCTTAAAATGCCTAGAAAAAATTTCGAATCAGGGAAACAGTTCCTACAGAACTGGCAGTACTCCGGAGTATGTGCAGTTAGAAACAACACGTTCTGGTTTGGTCGAACTACTCTGGAACCGTTCGGAAATTAGATTAGCAGTACCTATTCGGAATCGGACTATTAAATTAATTCAAATATTTATGTCGAGTTTGTGACTTGTGTGTTGACAAAACAAACGGGGTATTATTTTTACGGTAATTGCAAATGGAAAGTTTGTAGTTTCGTAGTTTGTTTGAATTTTAGTAGTACCCATTCCATGTTACCAGGTTATATTTGAACTAGATAAACCCAACCCTATATGCTGCGGTGGCGGTGAGATAAAAAGTAATGAATAATTTTTGTATGTAAACATTACTCATACAGTGATTACTCGCCATGGCAAAAGACAGGTTAAGTGACTTAGTAAAAGCGCGAAATGATGGAAATGGGAATTTCCAAGTGGAAATTGAGAAAGAAGTTGCAGGAGATGCTGCTAACCTGAGGGAAACATTCGAGATGGCAGATATTCTAAGAGATTGGATAGAAACCATTGAAGAAAATATAGAAGCACTCAAACAGTATATGAAAAAGGTAGACGACATAAACACTAATCAAAGAGATTTGAATGAAAAAATTCAATCTATTTTCCAAAATAATACCAGCATATGCCATAGGATACAAGCAAAACTCAAGGAGTTTGAAGAGGAAGTTAAAAATATAGACAGTTTAACAGCCGAAGGCCGAATAAAAACTATACAACTCAATACATTGAAAACAAGATATCAAAAGGTGTTCAAGCAAAACAATGCAGAACTGGAAAATTTTCGAAATATTAAAAAGCTGGAGCTGGACGCTCAACTTAGAGCCAAAGGTGTTAGAGTTACAGATGAAGAACTTACACATTTACTCGAAGAAGGAACTGACCTTAGTGTATTCACTGGAAATATTTTGGCTGAAACGGCAGAGGCCAAGAGAATCCTTCAAGACTTAGAAGACAGGCATAATCAGCTTCTAAAAATTGAACGAATGCTAGAAGAAGTACGAGACTTGTTCCTCCAGATGGCGATTTTGATAGACGACCAGCAAGAGCTTATAGATAGAGTTGAGTATCATGCTTCTATGGCTCAAGAATTTGTTGGACAAGGAACTAATGATTTGCAGAAAGGAGCAAAAAACCGTAGAAAGTTTTTGAAGAAAAAAATCATCCTTATTGTGGTAGTAATCATTCTGATTGCTATAATTATTGGACTTATTTTTAAGTGAAGTGTGGACATTTTATACTATAGACCTAGATTTCTTAATAGAATATACTATGTATCTGTTATCTGTTTATTTGAGAATATACTATTTATTTAAAATTTAGCAGTTTACAACACCAGCTAAGTTGTGTGTGCATTTTTTTTTCACTGACAAAAATAACAAATTGAAATTAGAATTAAAAAGGTTAATCAGCGATTATAATGATAAGAGAACCTTGAATGAATAGAACAGTTCCAAAAGCGCAAGCAGTTTCTGGAAGATCCTACTCTAGAACAGTCCTTATTCAAAATCCAAAAGATAATTCTTGAAAAGAGTTCTGAATTCAACCATGGTTTCTATTTGAACTATTCCATACTAGTTTGAAGAAAACATGTTTTTAACTGGGCATACTTCGGACAGTTCTAAAACATGGGGCTTTAATTGCGGAAAGGAAACAGGAACTGTTTCGGAACTACTTGCGAGAACAGTTCAGATTATATCATTCGTGGATCACCGCTAATGATATTCCAAAATTATAACTGTAGTTCTTTATTCCTGGGGTGCAAAATTGTTCCAGAAGAATATGTAAAAACCGACAGCAAAAATTCAATATGGCGTGGCGGCCAAGCAAGTCTATTTTGAATATGTGTTTTTATGCGTATTTTAATTATTTTGTGTTCTAATAATGGTCATTTGATATCCCCCGAACTCCATACACTGAATTATTCCCCCAGACTTGAAGCCGAAATTTATGAAAAAAAGGCAGTCAGAAAAATTTAAAAATTGATAAATCACCCCAAATAGCTTGATACAATTTTATCTCAGTCCAAATGAGTTGAAATTTTCAAGGATTGTAGTCCTCTACTGGAATAAGAATCGCTGAAAATTTCAGCTTTCTATCTATAATAGAAAAAAGTTATGACAGTTCAAATTTTTCCAAAATCTAAATCATAAGGTAGCTTTCTTACTAAAACGATGAAATTTCATTTTTTTTTTAATTGAGATTTTGTGTCCTAATGGTCATTTGATATCCCCCGCACTCCATACACCAAGTTATTCCCAGATTTGAAGCCGAAATCTATGCAAAAAGGCCCTCAGAAAAATTGATAAATCACCCCAAATTGCTTAACACGATTTTATCTCAGGAACTATAAGTCCAAATGAGTTGAAATCTTCGGGGATTGTAGTCCTCTACTGGAATAAGAATCGCTTTGTATCTATAATAGAAAAAAAGTTACGACCTTTTAAAGTTTTCCAAAATCTAAATATAAGGTAGCTACCTTCTTACTAAAACGATGAAATTTAAATTTTTTTTTTGTTTTGTCCTAATGGTCATTTGATATCCTCCGAACTCCATAGTCCATACACCAAGTTATTCTCAGATTTGAGGCCGAAATCTATGAAAAAAGGCACTCAGAAAAATTGAAAAGTTGATAAATCACCTCAAATTGCTTAACACGTTCGCTGCGACCCAGATTTAGAACGAGGGCGCCTAGTGCTAACGAACTTTTTCACATATCAGATTCCCTCCATCTTTTTACCCCCACATCACAAACTCGACCAAGTGTTGTTTTTTAATTTTTGAATACTTGCGAACACGCTCACGTGAAATAAAGCCGATTGCTGCAGTGCTAACCTTTCGTTCATCCCTTAAAAACATGTTGGACGAATGACTTATCAATAGGTCACGCGCACATGGCAAATACAGCCCATGACTTATTAATGAGTCATGAGCAGCGAACGTGTTAATACGATTTTATCTCAGGAACTATAAGTCCAAATGAGTTGAAATTTTCAGGGATTATTGAAGTCCTCTACTGGAATAAGAATCGCTGAAAATTTCAGCGTTCTATCTGTAATAGAAAAAAGTTATGACCCTTCAAAGTTTTCCAAAATCTGAATCGTAAGGTAACGATGAAATTTAAAAAAAAAAAAATTATTGAGATTTTGTGTCCTAATGGTCATTTGATATCCCCCGAACTCCATAGACTAATTTATTCCCAGATTTGAAATACATATTTACTAATCTTACTCTTTCAAAATAACATAAATTTTAATTCAATAGATGCTCTTGAATTTCTGGTCCTCCTTAGTTTTCATTATTAAAATTTTTACCTGATATAATTTTATTGTCAATTTGTCAAATTTAATAGTTATTTACATTACAAGTGCGTTTATGAACATGATTACAATAACGAGTGTGAAAGATTAGAATGACGAGGTCGTAGACCGAGTCGTCCTAATCACACGAGTTTTGTAGTCATGTTTAAACGCGCGTGTGATGTACAACGTTTTATCTACAAAGCGAAAAATATAAATGTTTCTCCAATTATTTTCGTTTATTAGTAGTTGTCTACCTTCATTTTACCTTTATAGGTTTAACGTTGACATTTGTCAAATCACTAAAAATAGTTGTGTTATGGATTCATAACCTAGTCTATAACACCACTAGTTATGTTATGAATTCATAACCTAGTCCATAACACCACTAGTTGTGGTATGAGTCTCATGACATAACTCAAATACTAGAAAAATGGTTATGTAAAAACGTCATAACCAAACGCTTGTAGATAAAAATCATTTTACAAATTATTATCCTTATATTATTCTACTTTTTTATATATTTTACATCTAATATTTTTCTGAAACACCCAGACAGTCAGCTTATATATATTATCCTCAATTATTGTAAGTTTTTTAATTTATTAATTTATAAATAATTGTAACTTTATAACAACTATATTGTAGAGTGACTGAAGAAGGTATTGAAATTATACCGAAAGCTTTCACAAATAAAAGAGTCTCTTTTTAATGCCTAAGAAGATCTAGAAGATTTCAATAATTGGCTGCAACCTCATCAAATTCACTTTTTCATTAAATTATCAGACAGCCGTAAAACTATCATTATATTTTCCCTTCTGACGCCCAATTTGTTTTAAAAAAATGATGTTTTAGTTATTTACCTAACAAGTGCGGAAAGGAAAGTGGTATTTTTTCGCACAAGACGGCAGTTGCACGAACGACGGTGCGGAAGTACATCTTTCAAAACGAAATCTCCTGCGGAAAAGTAACTTTTCTGCACGCTCGTAGGAAAAAAGTTTTTTTACAAATTGCACGTGATAAATTCTAAAATAACAACAGTTTAAACATAAATAAATAATAAAAAACGCGATATCGAATAAATACGAATTCCTGGTGATTCCCCGCGGCTGCTAAAAAATACCGAGCACTGGCCTCGCGCTACAATAGTGCCATCTCCCGCTGCAGCGCTGATCTAATAAAATTTCAGAGTTGCCTGAGGTTGCAGTGTCGTGTACCAACGTCGTATCAACGAATTGCTGATTTTTATTCTAAATTATTCGTCATATATTCTCATATTTCTGTCAACAGAATTCTTTACTGGAATAAATTTGCAATTAAAAACTCTTATATTTTACCAAAACCCTCCAAAACTTTAAAATATCGTGAAATTCTTGGGACATATCGTGAGATCGTGAGATTCGATACAAAATCATGAGATCTCACGATAAATCGTGAGATCTGGCAACCCCTGCTTGTAGTAGTAGCATGTACCTACTTCGTTTTTATTCATACCACCCATTATGTATTACGTACCTACTTGTAGTAGTAGCAAGTACTTCGTTTTTATTCATACCACCCAATATGTCTATAAACTAAAACAAAAATTTTCAATTTTTGAAGACCCGATATACCTAACAGACGATAAAAATTGTAACATATTCTAAGTCCGTCAATTCCGATTTCCGTATTCACAGAAATGTATGCGGGTATAACTTCAGCGGAATATCAGCGAGAGTACAGAAAACGGAAACGTGAAGAACGGTTGAGACTGTTGAGAGCCTGGGAGCAAATAGAACTTCGAGAGGCTGCTCGAACTAGTACTGAGCGATCACCAGAACGGAGAGCAAGTATTGCCGATTCTGCTCTGGATTTTGCGCCATCTACAAGTCCATCAACTCAGCTTTCACCGATGGTAAGTCACGCTACGTTAAAATTGGGTGTGACCCTGAAAAACGACTTAAGATACTTAAATCAAGAAAAGAATTCTAAGATCTCTCGTGAAAACCGCAGTCCTATATTCAAAATAGTCTCCGAGAAAATTCCTTGTGAAGATAAATTATGCAGGAACTTGTAATGTCACAACCGCCGAAATCGCAATCTTCTGTTCATTTAGGGCCAAATTACAGTATATTTGCATCTGCAAATTTGCAGTTCTGCGTTCTGCAAATATGGCCGACTTGCATAATATGTGCTCTATTTGCAGAAACGAGCAAATTACAGAGAAAATCTGCAATTTCATCATAATTTATCGGAAAAAAGTGTTTGGGCGCTACTGATTTACCAGTTTTAAATGTCAAAGTCGTCAAAGTGATTGCAAGGACTTGCGGACGTTTCACCATGCGCAAATTTGCAGGCGACCTGCAAATGCATTCTGCTTCTGTAATACGGAAAGTCAGACTTGCAGGTCCTGCATTTGTATCTTGGTGTTGCAGAGCTTCTGTAATTCCAGTCTAGTCGTTAGTGAACCGTACCTTATACTTTGAGTGATTGCAATTTACGGAAGCCAGGTCGCATGGAGGTAAGTAACACCCATTTGGCTCACGTTCGCAAATTTGAATGTAACACCCGATATCGCAACGGAGAGTTTCTTTATCGGGTGTTACTTACCCTGGATAGATTTGCATTCACATATTGTTTAACAGTAATGCCTTTATCAGATACATAGTATAGATATAATATTATTAGTTTTTTATGTTTCAAACTTTCTGTATTTTATTAATTTGCTCGTTAATTCTTGTTTATAGGCCCTACTTTTTGTATTTGCTTTTGGTATCAGGTAAACATGTAGGCCCAAATAAGAGAAAGAAGATTTAAAAAATTCAGTACAATGTAATTCGAAAGTATCTGTTCTGTTCCTTGTTGACCTGGTATGAATGTCACCAAGCCTCACCGGAGAGATATTCTGAGATTCTGAGTTCTAAATAATATTTTGTATCAAAACAGCAAATAAATGTAAAAATCTTCTTTCTTTCATCTTGAGCATTTCACTGTAAGTAATGTAAGGAGTAACATGTTCTCGTTTATTTATGCTCAATCTGTGGTTCAGTATATACCTATCGTACACAATTGTTCTAAATCTTTTGTAGTCTATATCTACACACAATAGGAAATTGGTCAGCAACAAAAAAATTACAGCTCAAAAACAAAATTCCGGTTTTTTGAGCCCACCCTATATATTAATAAATTCCTTGTTATTTCACAAAAAAAAATAATAATAATAATAATAAAAGGTTATATACAGTGTGTTATTTAAAAATGTGAAACGTGGCCTTCTTTTTGGATTTTTCGATGTTCCACAACTATACAAATAGTGAAAAAGACGTTCTCCTAAATTAAAATTAGTGTCCGAGGTTTTTCGAGAAATCTCTTTTATTGTTTTTATCTGCTAAATTACGAACACACAGTATAATTTAGAATAATATAACAATAATAATTATATTTTGCATTTATACAGGGTGTATATTTTAAGTGATACCACTATTGCTATATCCGAAACGGTAAGAGCTACAAGGTCGGTTAAATTAGAAAAAAGTTGCCTTTTTTGATGCCCATTCAACATTTGCTTACAGTGTTGTCAAATTCCTTTTAGTTTTTGAAATACAGGGTGATTTCCAAAAAACGGTCAAAATTATTTCATCAATTATTTCGAAAACTATTGATATTCGAGACACCATTTCAATTTGAAAGTTTTATAATTTTTTTCGCTCTACAACATGACACCTTCAAATTTCAAATCCGACGTTTCGTGATCGAGCTACCATCATCAACTTTATTTTTTTAAATACGGACCTGGATTTTTTATGTCATTTTTAGAAAACGCCCTCTATGCCGTCTTTAATGATATACCTCTATGATTGGCCGACGTTTCTGCTCTAAAAAGTGATCATTAGTGATTTTTACCAAAATTTTACCCTAATTCGGCCCTAGTTGTGAATCTGTATTTCATTAACTAAAAAGAACTTGGCAACACTGTAAACGAATCTTGAATTGGCATCAAAAAAGGCAACTTTTTTCTAATTCAACCGACCTTGTAGCTCTTAACGATTCGGATATAGCAATAGTGGTATCACTTAAAATATACATCCTGATACTCAGGTTTTAAAATTTCAATGCCCTAAAATAATTATTTACAAGATGGTAATAGTAAATAGGCTTATCTAATACCGAGGGTAAGTAACACCCGATAAAGCGCACATCCATGCAACCACGGGTGTTACATTTAAAAAACCGAACCGTTGTCGAACGGATTGCCGAATGCTAAACAGGGTGTTACTTACCTCCATGCAGCCCGGCCGTGCAATCTGTGTTCCGAGTTCTTAGTTCATAGTTCTGACGTCACAACTCGGAATTTCTGATTTACTACGTCACAACTCGGAATTTCTGATTTACTACGTCATAACTCGGAAATGCTCATTTATTGCTAGCACTCCCATCGAACATCATCATGACTATTATATACTCGTCTGTGGCAGACACTCGCAACCGCCAGAATAGGCTGGCTATTTACATATACTTTTTAAATCAATAAAAGAATATTCCCTCAAAATTTCAGCCTTGTGGAAGCAGGTAATAAATGATTGACCCTATAATAACTTTGCTATCGTCACACTTGAGGGATTATGACGCAACCACGAGATGCCTGCCAGAACGTTATCTTACTTTCTTAATTGACCAATAATGAAACATTTAAAAAAATTCTAGCTTTCTCTGAAACGGGTTAGTCGGATGAACCATGAACCCCTTGCTAGCTCCTACTACTAGTTATATCTTTCAATTTTTTTTTTTTTTTGTGAATCTGTGAAAACTGATTTATGGACAGAAAATATGTGTGTTGCTCTCAATGGTTGCTCTATCACAAACCTATTTTTGATATTTTCACGCCGATACACTTGTACGCCAAAAAAGCTTTATAAAATAAGGCAAGAGCAAAGAGCATAAATATATCTAATCAAAGAATTGAATGTTGATGGTCTGAAATGAGACGGCTTGATAGAAATTGGCGGATCAATTATTTTAAAGATCTGAGAGCCGGACGGCACAGGCCTCTAAAATGATGGTTATCTGCTTCATCTAGAATGTTTTAAAGGTTTTGCTATGCAGTTTTTTTTTGTTAAATTTCACATCGCAAATGCAAATAAAAACAATAGAACCGGACACCGGACACCTAATTTTTGGGTTACAATTTACAATTCTCAAGGATAAAATCGATCAGAAATTCCGAGTTGTGACGTAGTAAATCAGAAATTCCGAGTTGTGACGTCAGAACTATGAACTAAGAACTCGGAACACAGATTGCACGACCGGGCTTCCGTAGCAATTCGCTCTAGGAGATAATTGTCTTTCTTTCTGGAAAATTCTTACACGTGTTAATACTTTCCCTGATAATCCAGTGTGACGTCAAAAAAAACCTAGTTGTAAATTCAAGCCGCCCTAACTCGAAAACGGACCATCGTAGCAAGATTCGGTTTAAATATTTATTCTTAGGACCATATTCTCCGTAGTTCATTAACTTTAAGTTAACTGTCAAAGCAGTTTTATAATACCCGCCCTTAGTCGAAACGCTTGGCTTTTTATGTAACAAAGGTGAGCATTTCCACTAAGCCAGGCTTCATGAACTACGGAGAATATGGCCCTTAGATATTTTTGCACTAAAACTTTCATTTTTGGGTCACACCCCCTTTAAGAACTCCAGGGCTAGGATCACGACAAGTAGAATTCTACTTTCATGACGTCAGGTTGCCTAGCAACCGTCATCATCGCCTGTACTGTACGCGATAAATAGGTCGCAGGTGACCTCATGAAAGTAGAATTTTACTTGCCGTGATCCCAGCCCAGGATTGCGTTTAGAATTAGCACTCTGGGTGAGAGAGTGTCCAGAGTTACTCTAAACCGTTCATAAATTACCAGATGCTTACTCGGAGCGTTATGCTAGAATCGTGCAGAAATCGAGAGTTGACGTTCCCAGACGCGCCCAAATTACCCCACGACTGGGACTAAAGTTCGTTTTTTTTTTAAAGATAATTCCCCAAGTCAAAAATTTAGTAACTTTGTTGGCAACACAAGCCTTTTCTACATAAAAAATTTGAAAGCATTGACACTTTTACATTATATAAAAAAAAACAGATTTTAGGTTGAAAAACGCTTCGCGGTTTTCACCGAGATTGAAGTTGACATTCACCATGTGCACAACGCCCCAATACGTTCAGAAATAGCGCACGCAGAGTGCACTCCAAGTGATGACGTCAGAACACTCTGACAAACAACTACTCTACCCCCACACTCCATTTCTAAACGCACTCCACATTAAATTTTAGTGATTTTTATCGAACATCTCACCACAGGTGACAGGGGATAAAAACTTGCGCAAAACTTAAAAATAGTTTAACTTTTTTGCGATATCGCAAAAAGTTGACTTTTCCCCGCTGCGGGACAAATTTTGAAAATTCCGTGTTTGCCACGCGAAAATCGAATCGAAACATCGATATTGCCGATGGTATCGTGATAATAGTTGTATTCCTTTCACACCTAGGAGGAGACCCGGAACAGCTCCGGGGCGCTACGCGCTTATTCCTTTTGAAAAGTGTTTGTTGCACCTGAAGTGTTCAAGCCCGAACTCAACCATTTAAATGCACGAAAGCAAAGACAATACTACGAAAGCCAGCACATCTGCACCTTTTAAATCGGTGTTGACTAACACTGGAGCGAGTAGCTCTAGTGTTCGCTCTTAAAAGGAATATTGTTCGTCGATTTTTATCTGACACTTTCCGTATGAGGAGTGAGGGGGTAAAGTATATGGAAAAAACAGGTGTGACGTCAGGTGACGATTGGCATTCTAATGTAGGGTGCCACCAGCTCACATTCATTTCGAGTATCAGATTAAAATCGACGGACTTTACAATTATTACTATCGATGTCAAAGTATCAATGTATCCAATACTATCGATGTTTGGAAAACATCGATATTTTTTGGTCATCCCATTTGATAGAACGATTGGCGCGTATATTTTGATTTTGTAACTATGGACGAGGATGTTAAAAGTATAAGAAATAGGGAAAAATGTAAGCGATACCGAGAGCGTAAACGTTTACGCGAAATCGAAGGTATATCTAGTGAGTTACCCACGACATTGCGGTTAACGAGAAGTGAACGAAATAGGCGGTACCGTGAGCGTTTGAAGATTCGGAAACTTGAAAATTCTGATGTTGACCCAAAGAACAGTAGTAGTAGTAGTGAGCGGCATACTTCTGCTGAGCGTGAACTAGATAAAAGTGGAGTGGTACAAGTTATTAATGACAGTGAGGCGGTACAGGTAAATATTGCAATTGCAATAAAATGGTCTCGGTAGAGGTACCATCGTCACCAAAAGTAACTGGGACACAAATAATGCATGATAATCTCCTGGACTAATTCTACTGTCATTCATTTCAATACATTTATTGCATAGTTTGACAAATATTTGACAATAAAATTCATATAATAGGACAAGAGCTAATGTGATGCTGTCCCAGTTACTTTTGGTGACGATGGTACCTTCCTCTAAATGTATGTATGTAGATACTAATTTTTGGCTACAAAGAGACCAATTTAATGTTGAAGTAGGTTTAAAGAGTATATGATGGATAGGTAAACATTTTTAACATTGGAGTTTTTGTTCAAGGTCGTTCAAGGTCAAAAGACATCGGTGTCGCGAACAAGTGCGCATGGCAGTGACGGAGCGCTTTGCCTTGACGGCAAGCGGTGTAGGGTGGGGTATTTGATAGCGATTTCCATTTGCAGAATCAGTGCAAAAAAAAAAATGTATTTTTATCCTTATATTTTACATGCTTTTAGAAAAAGATGCGAATACACTCAGTGCACACTGATCGACGAACGGAAAACAAAATGAGTAATGTGGGCCGGAGATTCTAAAATCCGGATTCGACACACGACTCTCGGCCGGTATCGAGTTGCGTCTCGTTGTCGAGTCGTGTGTCGAATCATCGGTTGAATCGTGATTTTAGAGCCTCCGGGCTGCATTCGATTGAGATTTGATCGATCCTGGTTTAATTTAAGTAAACCAGATCTACTCTAGATCACAAGAAGTGAACTTAAAAATATCGCCGGATGAATTAGATAAGGATCAAATATAAAGAAAAGCCATCGAGAAAAGCTAGAGAGCTTTCTACACCAAACGAACAACTGATCGCATAGTCATAGTCATAGTCATAGTTGATAGTCATCAAATTGAACCTACTTTTTCCGTTCCGATCGATCTGAACTGAACTGCGTTGCGAATCGAATACGACTCTGAGCGTTCAAGATGAGAAGCAGTAGCGTAGTGCCGATGTTCCGGGCTTGTGTTCAAAAATTTCACCGGGCCCCTACTCCTGAAGAAGAAATAGAAGGGCATGCCAGGGTCCTTATTCTTGAAACAGGGGGGAAGCGTTTCCAGGAGAACAAGTGTTCCGTCTTTGTTACTTATATTATCAGTTCCATATCATTGAGAAAGATGGAACACTCGTTCTCGGGAACGCTGCTCCCCTGTTTAAAGAATAAGGACCCAGGAAGAAATGGAGAGTATAACCGAATTTTCGCCTACCTCCATGATTTCATCAATACAAACGCTTTCGCGAGAAAATTATAACGTCATGTTAGTTCGACGGAAGCATGGACGCAGCTTCTAGCCAGCGTTCAAGCTCATGACGTCACAGTCGAACTATGGTTTGTCCTTTGATGAACTACATTCGTCGAGATTTGTTCCAACATGTCAAAAACTGTCCCATAAACGCTTTCTAAACCACTCTATTTACGAATTTCGGGTTCTACACACAAACTTTTGGCTTTGCGCAGAATTGTGACGGTATACATTGTACGGTTTTTTGATGTGTTGGAATAAAGTTTATATTGAACAGATTAATGAGACTTTGGTGGAGTTACTAAAGAAGGCGCAAAAAAAAGTGAAGATAGTCAACCCAGATAAACTTAAAAACCCATTGAAGACATAAGAAACTTGAGGCAAACAAGAAGAGGAATGAAAAATAAGCACGTAACGAAAGTAGTAGAGCTAAAGAGTTTGAACAAAACCATTTCGAAGGCCATACGGAAAGACATACGGAACTTTTCCAATGAGGGAATAACTAATATCATAGAAAAAAACGAAAGCCTGAAAGTTCTAAAGGTGGGTTCTAACAGACATTTAATTCAATTTAGCATTTAATATAATTTAATTTAAAAAGTTTACTATACAATACCATATGATGGCGTTCATACAAAATTTTAATTTAAGATATAATATAACTTAATTTAAAAGTTGGCCAACTTTTATCTCTCAAAATTAAATTAAATTAAATTTGAGGTTGATCAATGGTTTTCATCAGTTTGACAAAACAGATGACGGATAATGACATTTTTCTATATCAGTTAAAAAATTACTGTATGAACGCCACAAAGTAAAATTATATTAAATCTTAAATTATGTTAATATAAAATTAAATTAAATTTCTGTTAGAACCCAGCTAAACGGAATAAGTTGAAGACCAGGAAGGAGGAATATCCACAAGTTGAAAAATAAGTAAGGACACAATATCATACTCGAACAACTAGAGATTCTGAAAATTATCAAAGAGTATTATGGATAGAGATGGCAAATTCTCGAGAATTTATTTTGAGAGAATTTTCTCGGAGAATATTCGGGAACATTGGAGAATTTTGGAGAATTTCAAAGAATATAACTTCCTAACATCATGTGGTGTTTTTAAACATTTTAAGATATGTTTTGTTTTGTCTAGTTGTATTTTTTTGGTACACAAAATCATAAAATTTACATTGAAATTTGTTGTCCTTATTTTGTCTGAAATATTTCCAATCAAACCTCTGGGGCGAGTTCAGGAATGACACACCCAGTGTGAGTGTGACACCGGTGCGACGCCCTAGCTGTTCAAAAATGCTAGACGGTGCTATGGGCCCAATGGCCAATTGTCAATTCAGGCACACCCATAAAATCGCACTCACACCCGGTGTATTATTTCTGAACTCGGCCCTCCTCAAAACTAGTCAAAACTAATATTAAATAAGTTAAATATTTTTTCGCATACACTCTGCAAGTGCGGGGACACTGAAATAACTTATGGCGTTTCCGGTTGTGTTGCAAAGAAAATTTTGAGGATTATTCCACTCATGTGTTAGAAATCCCATAAGACAACTGACGATTTTCAGAATCACAGCGAAAATTCTCTTTTCCATTTGTTTAACTAGAGAGAATTACAGCGATAATTCTCCCATGTTATTGTATACGTGGTTGTCATGCTAATTTTTGATACAAACAAACGGTTCCTGATAGCAACCATTTATTTGTATTGATTGTTAAGATGTTCAAATCGTTTAATATATATTTATTTCCATATTTTTTGCATTCTCATACGTGAAATAATCCTCTAAATACCACTTGAGCTTTAAAATGAACCAGATAATTTTTCACTCCTGCGTGTTTTCTCTACAAATTTCACTCGTCCTACGGACTCGTGAAATTATAGAAAACACGCAATCGTGAAAAATTATCGGTAATTTTGAAGCTCTCGTGGTATTATCCCCGAAAATATGTTTCTATCTGTTTTTTTAACATGCTGAGAGAAAAAGGTGGAAATACACACACAGTACTCAGTGGCACCAGTGCGCATTAAATCTAATCTACCAATAGAGAACGCCTATGAAATCGGGGAATTTACCCGGACTCATACTGGCTGGGTTTGGTAATTGACCTTTTCAATTTAGAAGCCTCTCTCTCTGGCGTCAGACTGTCAGATGCCAAAAGAGTATGAAAAGTATGAAAACAATGATTGACAGCTATTGACAATGGTTTGTTGACAAGAGTTTTATACGTCTGAGACTGGAAACTATTATTTCCTCGGTTTTTTCAAGGTTTTTTCCTAACAATGGTGATTGTGTGTAGTGTGCCTTTTCGTGAAAATAATTCCTATTCACCGGCGGACGTGTCTTTCCATAAGTTTTCATCAAATCCTACATTTGTCAAAATTTGGATACACAAAATCAGAACTGATACTCGCAAAAGTAAGGGAAATCCACGACCCATCAAGTATACAAAGATATCCACATTCAAGTTTAGTTTGCGGAAGCTGTTTGCTTCCCACATTTTCTTTCCAATTTCAAATTTCACCATTCTATGTCGGTCATTGTCATTTTCCATTCACTGAACAAAGATACCTAACTCATCGGTGGAGTCACCGATTAGAATAAAAACCAGGGGATTGCTAAACACCCTATACACTTGACATTGACGAGCAAGCAAATGTTGGCGGGAATCTGAATGTTTTCATACTTTATCGTCCATCTCTTTTAATTGAAAACGTCAATTGCATCTGCGAGCAAAGTGAGCAAAATTTAATAGATGTCACGATTGTCACGTGATTTGACACGTGAAAAAAGATGTGATCACGTGACGTCCGTCAAAATTTGCACTTTTTGCCCGCAGTAGCAATTACTGAACCTAGCATCAGTTTTCCGTTTTTCATTTCAACCTAACTTCACTACGAACCTAGATAAATTTGAAAATTACAGTTAACTTTCCATAAACTCTCAAAAACTACTGTATATTCTCATAAATTCATGAACCTAAAAAAATCATAAATTCTCGAGAATTTAAGGCCAAAGAATATTTTCGGTAAATTCTCTGTTCTCAATAGAAGTTCTTTGGAGAATATTCTCAGGACCATCTCTAATTATGGATCATTATAAAGTATGTATTGATGATTTCATTCAAGAGGTAATACAGAATCCAGGGTCAGAGGAACATTCAGATCTAACCGAAGAGGAAAACAGACATAAAATGCATGAAGAACAACACAAAACTCTTGGAGAAGATGGCATTGTAACTGAAATGATAAAACTGGGAGGTGTATATGCGTCATAAACGGACTAAAAACTCCTTATAATATGCCTGCATGTTTAGAGGAAGTTCACTAGAACAATGGAATAATGCCGTTATATGATAATTTTGCATAACAAGGGAGAAGATCGCAGAAATTAGAAACTATCGACCTATCAGTTTCATTTTATGAGGATAAATACTAATAGAATGGGTCCAGTCTAGATTTTCCTAGACCACTAGAACATCATGGCGATACCAACAAATTCCCCTTAGAGGAAGGTTTCGGACTAGGGGACACCAGGTCTCGTTATTCACTGCTTTATTACAAAGCGCTATAAAGAACAACTGGAAAATATCGGAGTAAACATCAATGGAGAGTATCTGAATAATCTGAAGTTTGCAGGCGACATATTTTGTTATTACATGGAAGTACATAGTTGGCAATA